TAGGAGATAAATAATTATCCGTAAAGTTAAAATGCTAAAGTGAGTTTTCTTGGTAAATTAAGGAGGAATTTTATGTATTTTTTCAAAAATTTATTAGGTTGAAAAGTCAACATGGCTTATATTATGTTTGGTTGGTAAGTTCTAAATATTGTGCAAAAGATATTCATGTATTAGTTTTAGGTAATTTTATATGGTTTTTAGTTGCATTTTTTGTAATCCTGCATAACTTATGAGAGAATCTATGTACAAGTTATGCGAGATAGAATTTGAAATAAATTATGTGGTATTTAGTCATATATTAAAAAGATAAATTACACATTTACTCTACTATTTTTTTAAAGAATCTTTTTTATTGAAAACTTACATAAGTATTCTGTTTTTTCACTATTTTTGTTTTTTATTTCTTTTTTTATACAAACGACTTTTTATTTGTTTTTATTTAAAATCAAAATATAAATATTTATTAATATTATGAAACGAAATGTATAATTTTGATAGCGCGTTTACTGTTAATTATACATTCACATAATATATTACTAAATATATTCACATATTCAATTATCATGTATTAATTTTTTATTTAGAATGTGAGTTTATGTATAATTTATATATTTGGTATACTAAAAGTTTTACAAATAACACATGCGGCATATTGATAGAAATTCATATAATATGATATATGATAGTATAATGTACTTAAATATATTAATGGTATTCTATTCTATAAGCTTTAAACATTAAAAAAATAAAGAGAAAAAAATACAGTATTCCTAATTAAGTTTAGAGAAAATTCCTTTTATCTTTTTTAAGGGAGAATTTTTACTACTTGCCTTCTTATCTTATTTGTAAATAATATATTAAATTCAATATTCAATAGTTAATAAATCATGTAATGTATTCTCTATATAACTAAAAAATATCTACATATAATTAATACTCACATAATTAATATCATATAACTGAATCATGTATAATTAATATATGCATAACTAAATCTTGCATAATTAATATCTGTCTAACTCTAACCAGTAACCAAATGCCCAGTTATTTTGAAACATTGAAAGTGTATGCCGACATTATACTATTATAAAACGTCAATGGAATTTTATGGTTATAAATTATTAAGGAGTAGTCAATAGAATAGCTACATAAAAGCCATATTGATCAAAAAAGAAGATATGCTGATCACATGTTTTTCTTTTATAAAAAGAGACAGACTGTAAAGTAAGCCTTTTTTGTGCAAACACTTTGCATCACAAGTACACAAATAATCCATGTTTAGATAAAGGGTGTCTATGCTCTAAATACGAGTGGATCTAGAATTTTCATTAATTAATTTAAAATATAAATATATTAAAAAATAAAAAAATTTAATATTTATTATATACATAAAAATATTTTTAATTATATCCAAAATTAATGAACCTTTTTTTTTATTAAAGAAGATTGGAAAAAATCTTATGGACCCTTACTAGCTCTACCCTGATCCCAACAGAGAAAGTATATAGGTCAAAAAGGAAAAAGAAATGCAACTATGAAAGGTAAAACATTTTTAAGAGGAGATAAAAAAGAGGGTAGAGTTAATATTTGTATAATGGTATTGTTGACCAATCAGTCAAATCAACTTGACCCACCTATATATAAGAGGGTCACTGCATTTTCCCTATGGGATTTCTACTTCCACACTCACTACATATTAGATTATTAACTTATACTTCTTTCATTTCACGAAGATTAATTTAGTTTGATTTGGCATGAATTTTAAGAATATAAAAAAGATTTTTAAATGTTGTGATCTTAAATTAAAGTTAGGTTAAATGTATAAAATTGTCTTTTAATCATTTGACCTTAAACATGTCATGTGAAAAGTTTAAATTAAAATGTTACCAAAAAAAATGATATCATTCTTTTTTAAACAGAATAAAAAAGAAAGAAGATCATTCGAATAGTTTAATAGAATGTCTAAAAATAGTATTAAATAAATGAGTGTTAATAGTGTTTTTGTTAGTACATAGAAATTATTTTTAAGCATTATTTGATTTGATATATTAAAAAAAATGTATTACATAACAATATTTAATTTATAAAGACACTCTTCACAATTATAATGGAAAGATATAAAAGAAATTTTGAGGGGCAATAGGATTTTTAACCATGCTAATGCATGCATTAAAATCGTTTGTATTATTAATATCTAGAAATCTCTAATATTAATAATATACCTTAGATTGCAATAGAGTATATAAAAATAAAAAATATATCAAACAAAGTATTATTATACACGAATAAATATATGTATAATGTATTATTTTCAGTAAGTGTCAGGATAGATTGGAACTTTTTTCTCCCGTCCAAAAAAGTTACATGAATGTTGAAAAGCCAATAAATAAGGATATATTTAAATTAATTCTATAATGATATTGATATATTTTAATTTTACCCTAATTATGGACGGATGACATATTTAGTTCTTTTTCCAAAAAGTTTAGTGCAACCTTTTCCCTAGGTCAAATGACACATATTTGAAGTATAAACTTATTACACCACCACTAAATCATAACTTGTAATAGGAGGTAGTTACATATTTCAATTAATGTATTGTTATTTTATAGATAATTCGACCTTGTTAATACTTAACATTGTGAAATCTAAAGTCTTAAATAATTTTTTGAAAGCATATGCAACACAAAAATGGTTGTTGAGTCATCAACTTATTTGGTCATATGTATATGTGGTGTTTCCACTTATAGAAATAGAAAAGAGGTAGGCTTGCCTTCCCCAACCTCAATTTTCCAATTCGGTTAATTGTTGACTACATCCATGTACATTATTGCAAAGCAACAATGTCACTTTTTGGATTGTCATTGTGTTAGGACCGAAAATAAGCAGGTGTAACGCAGAAGCTAGCAAAGCAAACCTCGAAAGATCACGAGTAAGAAGACAACGAGAAATATACCAAAAGACACAGAGATTTAACGTGGTTCGGTCAATCGACCTACGTCCACAAAGGAGATGATCAATCCACTATAAATATGAGAGTACAAAATACAGAGAGAAACAACCTCAACCAATTCACTCGGAATACATGGGAGGTTCACACAAGTGATAACGTATCAAGCTTGTGACCCACAAATTCTCCCTCTAACCAAAACTCTCAAAGCCCTTAAGACTACATTGTGAATGCTGATTAAGTTAGAAGGAACATGCCTCTATTTATAGAGTCCTAAACCTTTTCCTACAAGAAAATGATTAGTCAATCCAAAACCTTTTCCTACAAGGAAAACCTATTTATGGTAAGAAATTTAGGGCAAATAAAACCCAACAAATCTCCCCTTTGGCCTGAATTTCTGATAAAATAAATTTGTCCACCTTCTTTACTTAATCTTCAACAACTTGCTTCTCCTCTCCATAATCTCCTTTGCAAAATTTGTGTCTCAACACAAAGAATCTCTCTGAAACAATTTCTCCAACAAAATCTTCATTACTGTCAAAAAGGTTACTGCTAGAACTACACCGCCAAGTTGAACACATCTTTCTAACCTGGTTCAATCATCGATTATCGAACCACTGAACCTGACTCCGTCATTGAATCTGGCTCTAATACCACTTGTTAGGACCGAAAATAAGCAGGTGTAACGCGGAAGCTAGCAAAGCAAACCTCGAAAGACCACGAGTAAGAAGACAAT